TGTTTTGTTAACTGTATGTTTCTTATGGGATACAAAGCTGAAAACCATTTTGAATGGTGTTTTTGTTAATAGTAATATCCATATTGTTGATTTGAATACCAGGCCATCAGCATAAATGTCAAATAAATGCCTAGTAATTTTAAAACTGAATAGCAACTATTACTACAATCTCATGATTTATTTTCTTTCTTTTTTCCAGTTGTCCCATTCTATTTTTTAACTTTGTTAATTTTATTGGTGCAATTTAAATATACACAACAGTCACATTAATCATGAGAAATTTGTACCTGTACATGGCATTTCTTGATTCCTCTTTCTTCCCCAATCCCCTCCCCTCCTTTTGGCCCTCCATTCCCTACTTATTTACAAAGGCTTTGTTTCCATTTTATTCCTTCTTTTCTTTTCCCTTTCTTGTTTTTCTCCTCCTTCCCAGTTTTCCCTTTCCTTTGGAAGAGTTGCTTCCTATTTCCTATTATCCATTATATATTTTGGTTCTTGTTTACCCTCTCAGTTTCTCACACGAGAGAGACAATGTTATATTCACACATGTGTCCGATTTATTTCACTTAAGAGTATAGTCTCAAGGTGCATCCATTCAGCTGTACATCCATTCAAGTGTATCTTTCTTTATGGCTGAGTAGTAATCCATTGCATAGCTATAAAACCATGGTTTTTATAGTTGATGGGCATTTGGGTTGTTCCCAAGATTTAGCTATTACAAACTGTGGTGCTCTAAACGTGGGTGTGCATGTGTCACTGTGGTACGATGCTTCTAATTCTTTTGGGAAGATAGTCAGAAGAGGAATTGCTGGGTCACATGGGACCTCTAATACCACTTTTTTTAAAATAAGAATCTCCACACTGATTTCCACAGCGGGGAAAAGAAACCCTTCTCCCCTGTTGGTGGGAATGCAGACTGGTGCAACCACTGTGGGTTCTTTCTCCCCACAGTCCCATCAGCGTTTGTTCTTGGTGGATTTCTTGAAATTACCCATCCTTTCTGGAGAGAAATGTATCTCCATATTGTTTTAATTTGCATCTCTTGAATGATCAGGGATGTTGAACTTTTAAAAATATATTTATTTGCTGTTTGTACTTCTTCATCTGAGAAATATCTGTTCATTTGAGATTCTTATTTTTGGATTGGGTCTTTAAATCTGAAGGCGGTGATTTTTTTCAATTCTTTGTATGTTCTAGATATTAGTCTTTTGTTTGAGGAATAACTGAGTAATATTTATTCCCACTCTGTGGGTTGCTTTTTCACTCTGTTGGCTCTTTCTTTGGCAGTGCAAAAGGTTTTCAATGGGATGAGATCCCAGTTGATTTTTTGCACTATTTCCCAGTCAGTCTGGGTTTTTTCTCTTGAAATCTTTGCCTACCTCTATGTCCTCAAAGGCTCTCCCTATTCTCTCTTCCAGCAGAATCAGTGTTTTTGTTTTAATATTTAGATCTTCCATCCACTTTGGTTTTAGTTTAGTGCATGGTGACAGGCATGGGTCTAGTTTTAGTCTTTGACATGTAGAGTTTTTCCAGCACCAATGTATATCCTACCTCTGCCTGATGAAAATGCCTAGTAGGGATGAAAACCCTGACTTCACTGTGTCTTAAGTACTTTTCTCCCCTCAAAAGAGTCAGGGATTCCTGCACTAGTGTGGATCAGGAAATGTACAAGTGATTTGCAATTATTTCTGGGATAAATCAATTTTATGAGACCTGTGCACATTGTGTGCCCTCTAGTAGAATACAATAGAAAATATATAGGGCCACCTGTGAAGTATTTTTCCAAAACACATGTACCTAACATGAAACAAGTTTCTGGCTCATTCTACCCGGCTATTAGAAACAAAATTGCAAGGATACATTTAGCTAAGTCCAGAGTATGGAAAACTATAGAGGACACATAATCTGGTTTTCCCAACAAATCAGTAGTGTTAAGAGGTGGGGTCTGAAAGGAAAAACTTCCAGAACTGGCAGATAGCAAAAAAATGTGATATATGAACCAACTACAAAAACCCCTACAATTTTGTATTCTTTATGATAAAGATATTAAGGAATTGTTATTCATTTTTTCTCATTATATGAATGGCAACTAACAATAGAAAAGAAAGGTATCTCTCAGAAATACATACTAAAGTATTTACTGGTGAAATGATGGGAATTTTCTTATGACACCCATTTAAAAATCAACTGAAAATGAAATGAGGGATATGAAATAGACTTAAAATGTTGATTTTAAAAAATCTAGGTGATGATTTCATGAGGATTTATTATACTCTTTGATCTACTTAGTGCATATGTAAACATTTTTATAAGAAGTTTGTTTCTTTTTTCCTCCAATGGCTCCATGTTATGAGCTACAACTAATGCAAATAAATAAGTAAATTGAAATAAAATAACATGAAATAAAACCCAACTGTGTACCTGAGCCTCATGCCTAAAGCTTCTGGGCCAGAAACTTGTGCTTTACTAAATCCCTCGAGGAACTTGCTGGAATTTGAGAACCATTGCTTAAGAGAGGTTGGCCTCGGGCTTCAGAATCACACTACATTGCCTGGCCTGTTCCTATAGTCCCAGCTCCGAGGCAGCCTGGGTCAGGAGGCTCATTGGAGCTCAGGAATTCAAAACCACCCTGCACAACATGCAAGATCCCCCCTTCCCCCAAAAGTCGTTCTATCCTGAAGTGATTGCCCCATAACACCATCCGATAGAGAACTGAAGACACAGTTTGGGCCTCATTCTAGTTTCTGATTCAAAAGGTGGCTGTTAGAGGTTTCTATCTTGATAATTTCTAACAAGTTTTAGGTGATCCTATGGGCCCAGGTTCCCTACTTTGAAAGCCACTCCTGTAGGAGGGACTTGATTTCTTCCTCCTAACTGTAGCATCTTCTTTTTTTGAATTCATTTTTCTACAGCTATTAATATCCTTAACTGAAGGTTAAAGAATGCTTTTGCTTTATTTACTGACTCTTATCTTTAAAACTTAGTTAAATATTTCAAAAACCCTTCTTGATATTAAACTTAAAGTGATACAAAATTTAAACAGAAAATGTACACAAATTATGTTGCACTATTTTTATTAACAACTTGACAATTTTAGTTTTCTCAAAACTTGAGAAAAACCAATTTAATTTTTCACCTTGAATGAAAGGGCTGCTGGATCTGATTGTTTTGTTTTGGTTTGATTTTTGAGACAGGGTCTCACTATGTAGTTGAGACTGACCTGGATATAGCCCAGGCTGGTCTTGAACTCACAGTAATCCTCCTGCCTCAGCCTCCCCAGTGCTGGGATTACAGGTGTGGACCACAACACCCAGCTGGATCTGATTATTAATATTTTCAGGAATTGAGTTAGTCAGTGTCTTATTGGTAGCTGGAAGGTGGCTGTGGTGGAGTACGTATACCAGAAAGACAAAGGGGTTATTATATTAGGGATTGCTCCAACTCTTATACATTTATCAGCTCATCCCACTGTGAATCCTCTTGCATATATAGGCATCTCAGGGCATCAAGATTAGTTACCATTTTTTTCTTTTTTGTAATCTATCCAGCTAAAGTTATAGCCTCTCCATTCACTTGAATTTCCTTTGTGCTATAGGTTTTTAATGAGAAACCTAAAAAAAACTACAAACTGTCTCAGAAACCATATAGTCACACAAAACTGTAGATACATTTTAAGGTGTTTGACCCCTCTAAATTCCATTGAAAAGACATACTATGTTACATAGCTTCTACTTTCTAAAGCTTTAGATTTCTTTGCAATTTGGCTCCAATTTTACTTAGAGTTAAACTCATCATCTCGTAATTTATATTTCTCCCTAGTGAGAAATGTTTTTCCTTTTTGAAAATAGTTTTAGAAGTTATTTCATTTGACAAACTATAATTTACAGGCTCCACCTTAATATACGTCCATCTTATGAAATGACTAAGTCAAGCTAATTGTACCTATTGCCTCACATACTTACCATTTATTGCAGTGTACTAACCTATTCTCAGACATTTTCAAGTATAAAATATTATTTAGTATAATCACCCTCTTGTAAGTCAATAGTCTGAGCTTCTTTCAACTCTGTAACTGAAATTTTGTATCTATTAATCAACATCTTTCTGATTTCCCCATTGCCCCTGGGCCCTGATAATCATTGTTCTACTATCAAATTCTATGAATTTGACCTTTTTAGATTGCACATATAAATAAAGTGATTATTTGTTTTTTTCTGTTCCTAAGTTGTTTCACAGCACAATGTCCTCCAGACTCCAGATTCATGTACATTTTTGAATGACAGGATTTCCTTCTTTTTAAGGGCTGAATAGTATTTCATCTTGTATATATGCCACATTTTCTTTGTCTAACTGATAGTTACTTAGATTGATTCCATTGTAAATGGTGCTTCAATAACCATGGAAGAGCAAACATCTCTTTGACATACTGAATTTGATTCCTTTGGATATATACCCAGAAGTTGAATTGATGAATCATATGGTGGTTTTTAAATTTTTGAAGAAGATCTTGATCGTTTCCTATAACGATAGGCTGAATTTTTAAAAATTACTTATTTCCACCGACATTATTAGCACTATCAGTCAGGTACTGGCATTAGTTTGAGATACAGGCAGAGATTGTGGCAATCTATATCCCATGTTTGTCAGAATAACTTTCTTTAGTCTGGGGTAATTTTTTCCACATCCAAAGGGCATAGCTTAGTTTTAGGATAGCCATAGGATGTCTCATTTCTTGTCAAGTGTCTGCTCAAATTCACAGTAGACACAAAAAGCTTCATCTTTCCCACAAACCCTCACATTCTACCTAAAACTTTTTATTTCAAGGACTTACTATACCTTTCTGTAGTACTTTAAAGCATATTGTAACACAATTTTACAGCAGAAATGGAAATGAATTTTTCTCTAAGTGCTTTAATTCCATGTTTCCATCTCCAGCCTGATCATTTTCTCAGTTAACAAAGACAGCTTAGTACAGTAAAAAGAACAAAGTATTAGAAGTCAGATTGTTTTATCCTAATTTTGGAGTCCATTGAGTAGTTAATCTTTCACTATATTTTCATAGGATTACTATGAGAACTGCTGTATTTTTAAATCTGCCTGGTCTGAATCAACTTAGTCACTTGATAAAAATGAAATTCTCAAGTTTCTTCTCTGGAGAGTTCATTTTAGTGGATATCAAGAATGTTTCTTCAAAAAATCAATTTCTAAGATTTTTTTTATTATTACAGAAGTTTTGAAAACACACTTATGGACTGCATGTGTGTATGCACATGGATGTGTGTATGTGTAGGCATTATTCTCTATTATAGACATTAATTCATAATAGCTTATATCAATAGGAGGCAATTACTTTTTTATTACTGCAAGAACAAACTAGCATTTAATGTGATGTGATATTACAAGTACAACGATAATACATATTATTTGTCATAAATATTTTTATAAATGCAAGTCATACTTTCCCTGATAAATTTTAAACTTTTTTTTTCTCCCTTCTGGGGATGGAACTTGGGACTTTGTGCTTGAGAGGCAGGTGGTGGATCCACTAAGCTAAATTCCTGGCCCAGTTTTAAGCTTTTTATGCATAAATCCATTTGTCATCTTTCTAACTCATAAAATGTAATTCATAATAGGCAAGTAATAAGTTTGTAACAGATGGGTGAATACTTTATTGTTTCTTACAATATTCTTGAACACATAATGTTAACACGGTAACATTTTAGTGTTGGGGTAATTGAAGTTGGATTGGAATTATCAAAGAAATGATTTGTGATTTTTGTACAGTATGTTCAGTTAGGTTACAATAGATAAATTTTTGTATGCTTTAAATTTTCAAAATATTTATCTTATTTTCTACCAGAATGCAGGTATAATTAATCAAAAAGACGATTATAATGAGTTAACTATTCTATGGTTTAAAGCTAAAATATACCCCGAAAGTCTCATGCATTTGAAAGGTGATTTGATCATGGGGAAAACATATTCATAAGTGGGTTTATCCACTAAAGAGTTCAGTGGCTAAGTGTGCTCTCTATCAGGAGGTGGATCATTGAGGATGTCACCTAGAAGGATGTATACTGTCCCCAGCTCCTCCCTTCTTTCTTTCTGCATGTCTACAACTGTTTGAGCTTGCTGTGCCTTTCCACCATGTTTTTCTGCCTTGAAGACAAGCACCCATGAACTAAATCCTGAAGACCATGAGCCAAACTAAACCTCTATTGTTTCACATTGTGAATGTGAGGAAAATGAGGAATATAGAATATTGGTACCAGAGAAGTGGGGTTATTCCTGTAACTATACCTGACCATGTGGCTTAGAGGACTTTGTAATTGGTTTTCAGGAAGAGTTTAGAAAGGTTTTCTGAACTGTAAGCTACAGAAGTTATGAAATAATGTAAACAGAGCTTGAGGGGTGCTTATGCTCAAAGCTCAGAAGACTAGAATGCTGATAGGAATGTAGGCAGCAAAGGCCACGTTTAAGAGGTCTTAGTAGGGAGCAAGGACTCCATTGGCTGTTGTACTACGGGCCATGTGTGTTACACTCTGGCAGAAAATTTGTCTACATTTTATCAATGCCCTATGATTTTTTAAGGCCACTGAGATTAAGGGTGGTGGAATAAGCTGGTGGAAGAAATTTCAAGACAGTCCAACATTCAGACTGTGGCATGGGGATGTTGTTGACTGCTTTCAGACAGATTCATAGTGAGAACCAGGGCAAAACAAAAAAAACACAGCAGAAAAGTCTGAAAACTTAAACTTTGGCTCAAAAGGAACCAAATGTAAAGTTGGGGCCAAGGAGGGATGGCTGATGAAGAGATTAGCTGAATAGAAGCCAAGTACTTTGCACATAGACCAGAAGGATGCATTGAAGGCATCTCAGGAACTGGCAAGACCTCACCCATCACATCCTCAAAGACAAAATGTGTAAGTCTGTTTGAAAAGAGAGTCCCTGGGATGCCAAATCAAGGAGGACTCCCTAGGAAACACCCTGGATTCATTCTATGGTTATGGTGCTCAGCCATTCCGACCCTCAAAGGCCACTGCAAACATGGTCCAGAGGAGCCTGGCTACTGCCCAAGTGAGCAGCCAACCTTGGCATTATCCACATGATGTTGGTTTCACCAGGATGAAGAATGCAAGAATTATGAGGTCAGAGAGACCTCCATGTAGATGTCAAAGGGAAGCCTGGGAAGGCATGCAAAGAGTGCATAAGAGGGCAGAGTATGAAGCTGTGAAAATGAAGTCAAAGGTCCAGTGGAGATCCCAGGGAGTTGGACTTATCAGAAATATGGAGTATCTGCTAAAGAAAGCTGCTGGCCATGAATGGAGCCAGTCCAACGAGAGGCCATGTAAGCTGCCACTGCCAGGACCATAGAGGTGGGACCAAACAAGTCCTTTGGCACTTACATTTTATCACCGCTCCAATTGCCAGATATGGAGCTGCAAGAATTAATGTTGGTCCTCCTGGGTTTTTGTTTTTGTTTTGGCCCAATTATTTTCTGTCTCCTTACTTCTCCCTATTGGAAAGGGAATGTTTCCACTAAGCCAATTGTACCTTGGAGCTCTGTAATGCAGTTTTTATTTTTACAGAGGTTCCCAACTGAGAGTTTGCCTTGAGTCCCAGAAGAGACTGGGACTTGGACTTTTAAAAGATGTTGGAACTGTTGAGACTGAGAAAGCAATTGTTGCATTTCTGATTGTACACAGGACAACTGTATTATATTAGGTAGCATTGTGAACTTGCTATTGCATTTATTTGGAGATTAAGTGAAGTTTAGCAAGATATGTTTGGGTAGCAAGTTGGAAGGAGGTGGGATGTGGTGGGTAGCGTAGAGTTTCAACCTGTTTGGCTGTGAATGTCAAGGTGGGTCATGAAAGCATAGCCTCGAGGTTGATGTCTGATTCTCTGCCTCTTTCTCTTTGGCACTGTTTGCATATTCTGCTTTCTGGCTGCCACAAACCAAGAATCTTTGTTCTGCCATGCCTTTCAATAATCATATTTCTGCCTTTCAACCAGTCAGACATGGGCTAAATCCATAAAACTGAGAGCCAAATCAAACACCCTTTAAGTCGCGGGCTTCAGATATTGCGTTTCATTGGTGGGAAAGCTAACAAACTAATACACTATTCTTTAACATTCTTTGATGACACTCATGCCCAGTATACAGAGCCAAAACACCCCATTGTCTTTTTTCTCCCATCTCTCCAAAATGTATACTAGATATTATAGTTGAGGAATATTACTGCTATAGCCTACATTAAGACATAAAACATAAAAACTTTTTGAAGAAAGCTTTTTATTTCTTTTTGTGCCTGAGGAAAGAAATAAATTCCAATAAATTTTGAAATGTTTAACAAAGTTCTTCATGAACTACCAAGACTGCTAGAACTGGGAAAATTCCCTAGAGGATAGACTCCTAGATGAGAAATCTTTGTACATAAACAGAAGTAACATCTTCAAGTAAAATCTATCTCTAGAATTAAATGCATCTTTATTTCTTTATTTCGTAAAGTAATGATTTTCTATTTATATGTGCTCAAAACTGTTATTTTTTTGCTTATTACAGTTTCTCATTCATTCCCTCTTTTTTCTCTTTTCTATTTTTGACAGACAGTTTCACTAAAATATAAATATACATTAGCCCAAGTTTTCCTCAGAGTAAAGAAAAGAACACACCAAAAAACAGGAGAATAATATTTTGAGTTGATAACTTCCCAGAGAATGAGAAGAATTAATATTTTATTTTTATTCCATTCTCTTTTAAAAGTTTTTCTTGGTTTTCAAAAGTAAGGTGAGGATATAATTTCTTACAAATCATTTGTGGGCACAGACCCATAGTTTCATAGAAGGGCAGGTATATTCAAGGGCTTAGGGCTTTGGTCATTTTCCTAGCTTTAGACTCATTTTCATGGACTGGGCAGACAGGTTCAAATAAATTCAAAATTCTGAGTGACACAGATACACATGTGACAAAGTTCTTTTTTGGAGCTTATTCCCATAATATTAAGGAAAATAGGATAGCAATTGGAATTTTGATACTAAATGAAATAGGGTCATGGAGATATCATTTTGAGCTGCTATAAGTTACTTGTCCTGTAAAATTGGTCCGCAAATACAGAATATATGGAAAAAAGGTTTTCGAGGTCTTGCATGTTGATATGCTCAAAGTCCCCACACTGGTGCCTTATGCATCTTATCTCATCTTTATCACATTAGATGTTCTCAGGATAGACTGTATTTTGAATAGAAAGCACAGTAGCTTAGTCTAATAAACCTAGTGATCTCACCGAGATGTTATAGACGTTAAATATATTCTTCTTTATCATTAAAAACGTATTGAAAATAATAGTGGCAACCTCTTAAATTGTGCAGGAGTCAGTGTGACCATCTTTTCAAGGGTGTGGCTGAGAAAGGGATTTGTTCAATTTTGTTTTACTCTTTGCTTTCTGTTTCTGTTTTTAGCTTATTTTCTTTCATTTCCCTTTCTATTCTCATGTTATGTGTGGCATTTCACTTTTATAAGAAAGCATCCTCTATGCGTGGCTGTTAAGTATGATATTTCAACTTGGCTGGATTAAGAAACATCAAGTAGATTAGTAAAACACAGTCTGGGTGTGTCTGTGGAGATGACTGGCATGGACGACAGCAAACTGAAGGGGAGAGACCCACCCTGGTGGTGAGTAGCACCCACCAAAAGGCTTGTAGCCTGAATGGAATAAAAATGGAAAGAGGAAAGATGTTCATGCACTTTAAAAGAGCCCCAGCTTTCTTGAGCTGGTGCGTCTTTTTCTCTGTCATTGTCTTTCACCATCAGCCTCCAGGTCCTTCAGGGTCCCAGTGCAGATGCATACCAGTGTTTTCCAGTGAGCTTTCAATCCTTTCACTTTGGACTGGGGCTGCATCCTTGATCCGTCTTGCTCTGCAACTTCCATCTTCTTGGGCTGAACAGCTAGTGGAGCCTCTCTCTCCCCGGGATTCAGATGGCCATTGCGGACATTGCCACCTCTGATTCTTTTTTTTTTTCTCTTTGAGTTTATTGGTACTTTTTAGGTGTACTGTACAGTTACATTCATCATTGGGATCTTGTACCTTTACATGACAGTTCTTGGTTCTCATTTTTTCCCCAATCCCCTGCCCTCCCTTCGCCCCCTCCTCCCTTCCCTATTTACAAAAACTTTGTTTCTATTCTTTCGTTTTCTCTTTTTCTTTTCCCTTATTTCCTTTACCCTACCCTTCCCACTTCCCCTATACCTTTGGCCCTTTTCTTTCTATTTCACATTGTCAATTATACCCTGATTCTTTAAGCCTAATAGAGCCCCTTGCATAATCATATATATATTTCCTGTTGATCCTACTCCTCTGGAGAATCCTAAACAATACACAGGGTAACAAATCTACTCTCACCATAATGACATTAATCTATTCATAACCGTATCTCCTATTAAAGGCATCACTACCCAATACTTTCACAATGGCAATTAAATGTCAAAAATGAGTTTTGGAGGATATTTGACAAACCACAGCATTTCTTATGTGGGCTCACGTAATGGTTAATCTTCAATATCAGTTTACCTGGATTAGGAAACTCTTGGAGAAGTGATTGGATTCTGAATAATCCAGCTTCATCAGTGTGTTGACCTACTGATGAGCTCACAGGTGAATGGGCTTTTAGAACTATATCGAGTCCCTGACCTCTTCCTCTCAGGCTTTTTCCCTAGTCTCTGATTCTCAAATACTATTAGTTGAGAAGCATTTCTTTATCATTCCCCTTCTACCAAGATGTGTCTGTCCTGAAGTCAGCCTACCATAGATTGGTAGATTGAGCCCAAATAAACTTTCTCATTTAAATTGTTAGTTTCAGGTATTTTTGTCCTAGCAACAAGAAAACTGATGGATATAGTTCATCTGTCTGTCTGTCTTGTCTCTGTCAGTCTCGCTATCTATCTATCTAACTAACTCCAGGGCTCTATTTCTCATGAGCATGACTCCTTGCCTTTTATTAGAGTGTAAACTTTTTAAATACAGGGTGTGTGACAATGCAGGAATAAAGCTACATGGCAAGAAATATCCAACAGATATGTCACGTGAATAAATGAACACTATTTTAAACAAAACAGCCACATGAGGTACATCAAGTACATGAAGCTATTAGCAGAGTGTGTAGCACATGTTAAATCCCAATTAATATAAAAGATCATGTTAGTCATTATCATCACTACTTTCCTTATTATATCATTCTCATTTATTCCATTTAACAACACAGTGAAGGGGATATTCTCATAATCTGCATATTGGTCATAAGAAATGAATTCAAAGATAGTGAGAATTATTAATGATTACATTGGTGAAATCAGTACTTGGACCTGTGTCTTCTGATTCCAAAATCCAAACTTTTAAAACTGTACTGTATAACCAGCAAATTACAGTGTTGTTTGGTTTTCAACCCTTATGTAAAAATCAACCAATTTCAGGGGAAAAAAAACTTCATGTAAAAGGGGTTGTCAATTCTATTTGTTTATGCTGGGCAACACTCTCGTTCTTGTGTTTCTTGGTTTCCATAGTTTAGATTCTATAGCAAGATCATTCCTCAAATCCCCTTTTCGTGTTCTTCCATTTTCACTTCTTTCTATGCCATGTTACGGAGTTGTTAGATTTCTATCAGTCCCTTGGCTTAATGAGTAAGTAAGAAGCCCCAGTGCAACTTGTCAGTGTTAGAACTTGAACCTAGGAAATTTCCCTTCAAGACTAGAGGCCACTAGGTCTATTAGTCACTCTGTTGTGTTGTTCAGTTTTCTACCACAAATGCCACCTCTCAGTGGTGTCTGTTTAAACCTGACAGAAGAAGAGAGAGCATTGTGCTCCTCTAGGAAATGATATAGATCATATTTATAATGCTGCAAATATTGGCACTATTTATGCTTTTATATCAGGCTAGATTATAACTTTATGCAGTGAAAAACACTCTGAAAACCTCAGCTGGGGGTGAGGTAATCAATAGTTTTCTCTCTGCCTTCCTCTTTCCTGTCTTGTCTTCTAGTTTTTATTCTGCCAAAGCTGAGATAATTATTTTTCTACCAATCTTGATTGAGTTGCCACTGATGGGGGCCTTTAGGGAGGATGTTGCAGGACTCCGAGATTCTGACGGGGGGTTGCCTAGTCCGCTAATGTAGAAAGTTAAATTTTAACTATATTTTACCTTCTAAGTTTACGTATGACTCAGGCATACACACAGAAGTTGTCCTAAGGAGTACTGGGATTTTGCAATCTATGTCGAAATAAATCTGTGTTAGAAACAAAGGAGATAGACTAATCACTGATGTGATTATTTCAATATGACTCACCCCAAAATCCAAAGAAGTTTGAAAATAACAACAGCTCCAGTAGCAGCAGCAACCCTTGCTCGTTAATCTTGGTAACTTCATCCCCACAGAAAATGACAAGGAGAACTTTTGAGATATGAGAGGGGCATGGAGTGTAAATGTGTCAGGTAATAAAGCGAAGTAGAGTCAAGGCAGAAAGCATGATTTCAGAGCAAGCAGAGCCAGGGTCAAGAAGAGGGCAAAGCTCAGTGTTACATTTTCAAAGACTGTTTTCTTAGATGTCACAATAAGAAATTTAGCTATTGAAAAATATTTGAAACTGATTGCCTGAAATTATTTTGCTTACCAGTTATCAACTGGAGTTGTTTTTTTTTTTTTTAAAGAAGGCCTTATCTCATCTAGTGAAAGCATTAGTGTTCTGATTAATTGTCTTAGTCTAAGAAAATCATAAACGTCCAAGTCCATATTCAGGCAATTCTGAGAAAGATGGCAGAGTCCCTCTGCCTTTGGGATGGATGGTGGTTAATAACTGCCTGGAAAAGAAGTCCTGAAAAACCATGCAAATATAAAGGCTCAGCAGTCACTGATCATGTCAGTTAATTAGGCTGAGCTTTGACAAGACTACTCTGGGCAGAGTGTGTGTGTGTGTGTGTGTGTGTGTGTGTGTGTGTGTGTCTGGTGCATCATTTGACAAAACAAGGTTATTAATAGAGGTGGAAGGGTTTTTTTTTTTTTTGTATTTTCTTCAATAAAAGAAATGTTTTTTTTCCCCAATCAGATCCTATATCTACATAGTATGAAGCTTCTTTTTAAATAAATGTTCAAAACCACATCACAGTCCAGTGAGGTTTTATGTAGATGTGTTTCTCTGAAGTCCATGTGTTCTTTTTATAAAGCCTACTCACTCAAGCAGACTGTCTAACCACTTCTTCCATCATCCTAAATCTCCTTTATGGCTTTCCAGTAATTCACTACTGACATTTTGTTTCCATTAAATTCTATTTAGAGGGCTTTTGATCATTTAGTGAAGATAAAATTGGTATGGTATGTCCGTGGGTCCTGCAAAAATCAGTCTCACAAAGAAATTCTTCTTTTTAAAAAAAACTTTTTTTTCAAATCTCTGTGTATTTTTTCACTGGTTTTCAAAGTCTGGTTTCTGGATAAGCAGAATCAGCGTGACCTGGGAACTTGTAAGAAATGCAAATGTTTGACCCGAGCTATTGAATTGGAAACTCTGGAGATGGCTTAGCCGCCTGTGTTAGTCTTCCAAGAAATGCTGCTACTCAAGTTTGAGAACCTCTGTCACCAACACATCCCTGACTTTTCCTAAAGGACCAATTCAAGCTTGGGCAGGCACCAATACAAAAAATTGTCTTTTTCTTGAAATCTATGAATTTCTTTTTGAATTAAATATTACAGAATAGTTTTCACCCTTTTTCTGAATATAATTTAGTAGTGAACACCAAGTTGGTACCTTCACTGATAATTTAAAAATTGTACACTCGCATGCCTTTGGGGCTAGCAAGGTGGCACGGGTGAGAGATATCTAACCAATGTAAGAAAGCAGGATATAGTAATGTATGTACACATATAGAAGGTTCATGCTTTAGTCTATTAAAATTAATATTTAAAAAATACTATCTGGTAAAACAATATATCTTTAATTTTCAGTTTATACTATAATCATCAATGTTATGGAAATCTATTTAAGGTATATTCTCAGGAAAAGGCTTTATAAATAGTTATGTTATTTTATATTGATTGCTGTTGGAATCACATATTTCTAGATATATAAGAACCTTTCATAAAAATGAAAGTAAATAAAAATCTATTGGATGGTAAAATTCTTTGCTCTCAGTCAGATTGTAGAAAATCAAAATTGGGTGTATAACAAGGTTTAAGACTTATACAGGCTTTGAGATCTTCTTACAATGACTTTATTTCCTTATCTGATTTCAGTTAGCACTAAGCTAAGAAATATATGCCAGAGCAAATCCAAGACAGCTACCACTTGAACAAAAAGTCAAAGCAAGAAGAGGCAGAGAAACCAAAACAGGATATACTTTTCTGAGCTAAGGTCAGCACTATGCAGGATTGGTGGGTTTGGGGGTAAAATGTTAATAGAAGTAAAGCAAGCTGATTTCCTTTCATCTGATGAAAATTTGGAAAAGTAAATGGTATTTCTAGTTATTTTTTTTCCATTTGAAGAGAAGATAATGACTTTCTGATTAGCATATATTTCCTTTTCTTATTTTCCTAAAAAATAAATGTACTAAAAAACTACTATTTTTAAGTAAATGAACATATTTAACTTAGGCTTCTGGAAGGTATAACTATAACATTAAAGAAAATTTAGACACAAGCTCTTTTAAAAATTGTTTTGCTTTAAATAAATTGAACTGCCCTTCCCACTTCCCCTACACCTTTAACTCTTTTCTAGGGAAAAGAAAAAAATGTGAGAAAATGAAAAGATGGAAATAAAGTTTTTGTAAATAGGGAAGGGAGGAGGGGGTGAAGGGAGGGCAGGGGTAAAGGGAAAAAATGAGAACCAAGACCTGTTATGTAAAGGTACAAGATCCAATGATGAATGTAACTGTACTATATACCTAAAATGTACCAATAAACTCAATGAGGAAAAAAATTTTAAAAAATTGAACTATATGTTTTAAAACTCATATCTTTATACTTGGTGAAATAATCCATAACCTGTTGTTTTCTAACATTATGTAGATTATTTCTAAAAGTTTATGTAGGAAATTGACTAACCATAGAGCTGAAACCTGAATCATTTATGGCTGAGAGATTTCTAACTTCCTTTGTTCTACCTTTCAGCTGAAGCATGGGTTATAAACTCAAATGCCTGCAGGGCCCAGATGAGGGAAAGAAAAACAACAACAAAAAAAACCAAACTGTGTGCATAGAAACCAATGATTTGGAGCGAGTGCCCAGCTGAAGCAGGAAGAGGCCATTCGGCTATAAATGACTTTTGGCATGCATGAACTTGAAATTAATGGTACTGGGTCTTCCAGTTTTTAAGAAAAGTAGAACTTTTAAAATGAGAAATCTTTTGCAAATGGGAAGGGGACTGAGAGATGAAGGAAGTACAGATGGAGGAGAGGGAAAGGGGATGCAAAGAGAATCAAGATGTTATGTATATGCACCAACCCTCCATGATGAACGTAATAATGTACTGCAAAAATGTACTACCAAAAACATAACAAAAATGAAAAAAAGTGAACTCTCTGTATTTAAAATAGTCTATTCATTTTTTTTAAATAAAAAGTTTTGGATCAGAGAAGACCATCTGTGGTTATATCCTCTGAGCTGGCATTTAATTATCTCTTTATCTGGTGTCTAAAGTGATGATGCTTGCTGGTTGGGATCTTTTCCTCAAGCATTGGAGCAGAGTTTTCTGAGACATTGGTCTCCATAGATAAGTCTAGGTGCCTACTGGCAGATGATTCTTGTACAGAAAACCCAACTGGTGTGGTATGCCTTGCAGAGACTGAAACTTTTGGTGGTGGGGCATTCTGGCGCTTGAACCCCAGATCTCGTATGTGCTAGGGAAGCATTCTAACACTGAGATACACTCCCAACTGCAGCATCTTATACAGATGTTTATCAACAGAGGATTGCATCCCAATAAATTGATAGTAACTTCAAGTATCACAAGTTGGAAATGTATTCAAATACCTCACCTGCCAAACGACATAGTTTGGTAACACAGTGCAGTACACTTCAGAGTAGTGTTTAGTGGTTTACTCCTGGGATCACGTGGCTGACTGGGCACTGAGGCTTGTGCACCGTGGTCCAGCAGCAGCGGGAGAAGATCAGGATTCAGAAAAGGACAGTAGCAACTGAATGTATATGGTGTCTGCATCATTGCAATATCAAAAAGTATAAACTGCCATATGTTGGAGGATCATAAATCCCTGGAAATACTTAATTCCTGGGTAAAACAGAAGAGTTGGCTACGCTATCTAAAGCTTAGGTGCCAGGTATCTCTAAACACATATGGACTTGTGCAGAAAGAATCTATTTAAAAGCTTGTTAAGATTTTGATACCACTTGAGGATTGTTCCATACCCTTGAGACCTTAGTATATCAGGATAAATTCAACTTAATAGCTATGATTTATTGTTCATCTTCTATGTGTACCTATTCTAGGTGCTTGGGATTATATCATAGATGAAAAAGACAAAGATTTCTGCTTTGATGGAGGAAGCTGACATTCTAATAAGGAGAACCAGCAGTAAATCCACACAAGTAATGTAAACATTATGTACTGCAAATATGTATAGAAAGAAAAGAAAAAGGGATCAAAGGATGGAAGGGAAGGGAGGGAAAAGAATCAAGATGAATCATGTACATGTACCAACTCCACACAAAAAATATAAACAGTATGTACTACAGACATGTACTAAAGTTAAAATATGTATAGAAAGAAAAGAAAAAGGGATCAAAGGATGGAAGGGAAGGGAGGGAAAAGAATCAAGATGAATCATGTACATGTACCAACTCCACACAAAAAATATAAACAGTATGTACTACAGACATGTACTAATAAGTTAAAATAATAATAATAATAATAATAATAATAATAATAATGATAATAATAATGGAACAAATAAATAAAATCTATGTAGGACATTAAAAAGAAAATATAGTGAAGGTCAGGGGTTCTGATTACAAAGGGTGGGATTTAAAATATATTTTAATAAAAAATCAACTCAAGTTGCAGTTAGACTGGAAGTAAACTGTGAGAGAGAAGTTCAGGATGACTTAAAAATTTGACTTGAGCAATGGGAAAGAAACAGAACTGATATGAACTGAAAAGAAAAAGCTACATGCAGGGTAGTTTTTGCAGGAATTTAGTTTTGGGGCTTTCTTTTGTGTAGTTAGAAATGTAAATGTGGTTGTTGATTAGAAATTTGGATACAAAATTTGAAATTTCAAAGTGAGGACTCAGCTGGATATACAAATTTGGGAGCTATCAACATACAGATAGCATTTAATGCCCAGATGAGCCACAGAAGAATTGAGTTTAGATAGAAAAGGGGCCAAGGAATGAGTTTTGAAATTGCTCAGCAAAAGGAAATGGTACAGAGGAGTGACATGAAGCAGTAAGTAATTTAAAAATGGTGGATTTTAGCTGCCTTGGTAACAGGGTGAAATGGACTAGCTCTGATTTGGAAAAAATTATGCTTTCAAATGGATGTGCCATTTAAAAATAGATACTGAAAAACAATATGGAGTATTTATTGCAGGGGCATCGTCAAGCATATTAAATCAAGTGAAATATCTCCCTCAGCATCAATAGAAGTTGGCATTTCTACAGTTGGCTCCCATAGAATGAAGATGTCATCAAACTTGTATTCATCACTTATCCAGATTCTTAAATTTAGTGTTTCTGGTGAGATTTATTCTAATTCATTAGTTTCAAAATATAAGTTATTGTAAAACTTCACTTTGACCTGGTCTTAGCAACATTCATCATCTTCATGTTTTGTCTAGACTCTGGATTGCAAACAATCTTAGAAAACCTAAGATATAGGGCAACGAAGCCCTTAATTTACTTCACCTAAAGGCAGTTAAGGCTGAGTTTAGCTATTCTGTGAGGAAATTATTTAAAGAGAAATCACTGCTCAAAGGCAGCTGGTGCAAATCACATACATTCTTTGAAACTCAGATTTCCTATTTAGTTACATAGAAATGAGTCCTTATTAACAAACTCATTATCCTTGAATTCTCTGAGCACAAATTATGTGTATGGAAACATACATCAAAGCAGCAGTAAGGGAAAATACTGCAAATAACATTTTCACCTCAGTCTAAAAATATCCATTCAAGGGTGGAGATAAGTAACAGTGGAAGAATACTGATTTCAGCATGAGCCAAAGCATTGGTCCATTAACTGTAAACATAAATGTAATTTCCCTTAAATTATCCCACACATTTCAGTTTAGAAGAATTAGGCTATGTAATCACACAAGTTTATCTAGATTCTTTTCTATTTAATTTAGAAACTATCTCAGGCAAAGCAGACTATAAGCAATTGGCATAAAATGTACATACAGATTGCTAACAGATGAACCTTGGGCACAATCTTACCTAGGCTATTATTCACAGCTCCTAGAAATCACAAAATCTACTAGTGATTGCCAGGCATGTTAGATGCCCAAGGGGCGATGCAGATATTATTAGCTAAATTTCCCCAGAAAAACGTAACCAGCAGGAAATATATGCATAGATAGAGTGGAGATTAATTATGGCATTTGGCATTTGGCTCTTGAGATTATGGAGGCCAAGAATTCCCATGAATACCATCTGCAAGCTGTATATGAGGAAAGCTGGTGGAGTAATTTAGTTTGAGTCTAAAGGCCTGATGCCAAAAGAATTGAGAGTAGAACTCCCAGTGTGAAGCCGAAGGCTTGGGAAGTGGACGTGGGGCAACTTATTAGAGATCCTTCAATCTGAAGGGTGAAGAACCAGGATCTCTGATTTTAGAGAGCAGGAAGAAGATGGTTTTCTCTTTTTCTTCACTTTTTGAATCTATTCTTAATGAATGAATGATGCCTAGCAAGATTGTTGAGGTTGGATCTGTTTCACTTGGTCCACTGACTCAAATGCTAATCTCTTTGGGGGACACTCGCACAGATGCACCCATAAACAATATTTTACTGGATATATGGGCATCCATGAGCGCAGTCACAGTGACATCCAAAATTAGCCATCACAAGACTATCTCTTGTCAAGTTGGTGTACACAGGAAACTCCCTACACCAAATTTAATCTTCAAATAAAGACAATAATAAATTTAAAATTATGCCTAACATGTTGCAACGATCCTATGTATAGCTGAAATGCACTAATCTTTTTCCAGAAGCAGTGGTAAAGGCTTGAGTGGATGTTACTCTTCTTCTGACATCTCATAACTTATGTACTATGATGTGGACAAGCGTGTCCACTTTCACCATTTTCATTCAGCATAGTACTAGAAGTCCTAGCCAGGGAAATCAGGAAAGGAGAAGAAATAAAAAAGTATCCAAATTGGAACAAAAGAAGTGAAATTGTTGCTTTTGCAGATGACACGATCATAGTTAGAACCCCCCAAAACTCTACCAAAACACTGTGAGAGCTAATAAATGAATGTTAAAATGTCCATAAGGTCCAAAATAATCTATAGATTCAATGACATCTCAATTAAAGTAGCAATGACATCACTTCTTGGCCTTTTGGCTAATATCAAATGTAAAATAGCAATGGCATTCTTTACAAAAGTAGAAAAACAATCTTAAAATATATATGGAGCCACAAAATATCTTGAATGCCACCTTGAGTTAAAAAAAAAAAGCAGAGGCACAATACTACCTGCCTTCAAGATATACTGCAGTCCTAAAACAGCATGATATCCACATAAAAATAGAATAAAAATCTGAGAAATAAATGTATGAGCTATAGCCACCTGATCTTTGACAAAGATGCTGAGATCGTGCATCAGAGAAAGGACAAACTTTTAATAAATAGTGCCAGGAAGTTTTATATTCACATGCAGAACAATGAGACTAGACACCTATCTCTCACCGTTACAAAATAAATTCAAAATGTATTGAAAACAATGAACGTAACTGTACTGTATACCTAAAAAGTACCAATAAACTTAAAGAAAAATGTATTGAAGATTTAAATGCAATACCTGAAACTATGGAGCTACTTGAAAAAAATAGGAAAAATGCTTCAGGACCTTGAAATAGGTAAGGAATTTTGGACAAGAACCCCAAAACACAGAAAAAAAGCAAAAATAGATGGAATTACATCAATATAAAGTTTCTGTACAGCAAAGAAAACAACCAATAGAGGAAAGAAATTACAGAATTGAGAAAAAATATTACAAAGTACATATTTGATAAACAGTATCCACAATCTATAAAGAACACTAAAAACTCAATTGCAAAATGATCAAACAATTCAAATAACCCAATTAATAAATCTCTCCTTTAGAACAGGATGAGAATTTTGATTCCTAGCTAGATCTGCTCTCAGCCTAGGGTAGCCATAATAAGATGGACCTCTGATCC